AATAGAATCATCATATTTTGACAATGAAAATAACATTTGGAGCCCTACTAATATGTTTCCAAAATGTACTCTTTCTCATGAATAATAGTTTATTCTATATATTTTAGTTAGAGAGACAGCTAGATTTATATTTGAAAACTTGTTATGAAGCTTAAAATATTTCTGAAGCTTTTCTTAAGATATTGGTTTTGTAAAGTAGTTTCAGTACTAACTGTTAGTCTAGCAATACGGGATTAAGAGAAGGTCAAGTACAGAGGTTTTTGCGTAGCGTTGTAAGTTAACTGCACCACTGGTCCCTGACACACAGCACAGAAACACAAGCCTTTATCTTCTGGCTCCAGATTGTTCACTGTGAATGTCCCACTGTGAGCGCCAGGTTTGGTGGCTGAAATTACCAAAGTCATGATCTTCACTCCCAACTATTGTGAACACTATAAGTTTCATTGCTTCTCCTGACAGCTGTCTGTACCAGTACATCTGGTAGATGTGGCGATCCTGTTTGATCATGTCCGTGTTCTGAAGGTTTGAGTCTCAACTGTCAGTGTAGCTACAGAGATATGAAGAGCTGCAGGTGGGAGTGTCATATATTATGTGGCATTTGATCAAAGTGTAACTGGGAGGATTTGCGGTCCTCGAGGTCCCCCTACAGTACATGAGATAATTGAAACAGTAATACTAACAGTGCACTGAGGTTTTTGTTCAGCTATTGAGTGCATCTGTATCACTGTGTTTACTCACAGCACAGAAGTACAAGCCTTTATCTTCTGGCTCCAGATTGTTCACTGTGAATGTCCCACTGGCAGCGTCAGGTTTGGTGGCTGAGAATTTCTCTGTGCTGAAATTGCCAAAGTCTATGCTGTTGATCGATGTGAACACAATTTGTTTCATTGTTTCTCCTGGCAGCTGTCTGTACCAGTACATATAGTTGTAGTCAACACCCTTTGTGTGTCTGCAGTCTATTGTTGCACTGTCGCCCTTGTATTTCCACAGTGTGTCATTCTGGGTGACATCGCTCCCATCAATTAGACCTGTACAAACAAACCTTTATAATCAACCAATTTCTGGACTTTCTGACAAAACTTCCATTTAAATTGATAAACAGTTGCAACAAATCAAAAACATGATCAAAAGTTAGTTCATTTAAAACGTATTAATAATGCAGTGTCCCCTAGTAAATTACCTGCAGTCCACAGCACAAAGACTGATAATCTGAGGAGGCCTTGTTTAATGATAATATCCATGTTCTGTTAGACGCAAACTGCCAGAGTCTCTAATAGATACATGGATATAAAGAGCTGCAGATGGGAGTTTTTTTGAGTTCCTGTATCAGTAAAAGTGGTTCTTGGGGTCCCCCTACTGTCCATCACTCCCATCTGCAGTCATTGTAACACTGACAAGCTGTTTGCCAGTGACGTATACTGTGATGAACAAAAGATGAATGATATTTCTGGACTGGTAGTCCTAAAACGTGAGGAATTCTGATCAAGTTTGGTTGTTGTCTTCCAAGTAAAACCTAAAACAATTTATAAGAAGAATATACCTATCGTTTATAACATTATGAGCACTGACAGTTGAAGTAAATAACACTGAGTGGGGTACCTATTGTTTTACTAAGTTCATTGAGGTTCACTGCAGTTCATAATGTACTAATAAAATAGTTAAAACCAAATGTCAATATAATCATTATTTGAGCATAAACCCATTTTTTAGAATAAATTAGTTGAAGTTCAGTTGCATTTTTCTTTTTTACATGAAGTAATATTTAGAGATGACTTTAATTGGAGAGATTTTACAATAAAAAGATTCTAAAATAAGACATGGTTATTTTACTTTATTTACTTATAAAAAGGTAAGCTCTCAAGCTGAACAGCTGGTTTTGGTAACTCCACTGAGCTGTTCAAAAGTGCAAAACAGCATCCACATATTGTATTCTGAAACCAGTTTCCTCTTTCAGTCTGACTGCTGTTCAGTCCACTGAATGTGAAAGTCAGAAGGACCAAATATGGATGCAGATTCACATCGAGGTTTAATGGTGACTCAAGTTTAAGTATTGCAGCCTAAAAAGGTAGCTAGATTGGTTACTGGGATCTTTTGTTTATTTTCCTCCAGGTCTAATCTTTTATCCCTCCAAAAATATACTTGCTTTAATACACGGTTGCACTGAATTGTCTACAGTTTAATCCAGTAGGTGGCACTGTTTTCATACTTTTGTAGCGAGACAGAAAAATCTGGGAATTCAGACAATGTTTTCTTTATTTATTGAATTACTGCCTTGTTATATAAAAAGTGGACAGCATGGTCAATGCCAGTGTCATGATCTCAGAAGACTTCTCAATGTCAATTGTGTCTCCTCTTCCTCTCGGCCAATTTAAAGGCCCAGTGTGTAACATTTAGAATATATATATATATATATATATATAATATTCATAGGTGAGTTTTCATTAGTGTATAATCAAATGAAAATAATGTTACCTTAGAATGAGCTGTTGAGTCTTATCTCCACAATACGCCAGAATGGACAAAACTGAATGAACTTTGTGTTGTCACGCTGATGCCACTTAAATGCGTACATACTCCCGGGTCCTTTTAAAAAAAA